GAGAGAAACTGCTATCTGGGTTCCCTACTTCCTATCCCCCTTGAAAGGACACACATGATTACCTATGAAATCATTATCCTGTGTTGAGCAGGTTAAAGAAATATTGTTTCTGAACTCTTAGGCTGATTCAGAGAACTGGATTCACAGAACAGGCTATTGGAACTAGAAAATGGCCTGAGTGATTTTCTCCCCAATTTACCCATTATATAGAAGAGGAAACTAAGGCCCATGGAGGAAGTGGCTTTTGTTTGATGTTTGAAAAGGAAATTGTAATAGAATTGGGGTAAGAGCAGAAACTGGGAGATAATAGTCCTTTGTAATGTCAAGTGGTTGATTTGTATTTTTTTAAATAAGGAAAACTTCTCAATGAATTTTACTATGGAAATACAGAATTCAAAATCTCCCCAAATACTGTTTCTCTGATGTGATTATTAGCATCCTATTTTCTCTCAGTTGTCTTTCATATTTATTGTTTTAACCCTCCAAACAGAGATAGGAAAACTGGAACAAATTATTACATACCTAGGAGGTGTTAGGTACTACTTTAGGTAGTTTTATGGGACACAGTCTAAGCGCAGAGGTCATGTGACTTCTGGAATCTTACTGTCAGTAAATGTATCTGTCTGACTTAAAAATACAAATCAAGCCAGGTGAAGTGGCTCACACCTACAATCCTAGCTACTTCAGAGGCTGAGACCTGAGGATCACAGTTTAAAACCAACCAGAGCAGGAAAATCTGTGAAACTCTTGTCTCCAATTAATCACTTCAAAAAAAAAAAAACTGGAAGCAGAGATGTGGCTCAAAGTGGTAGTACACTAGCCTTGAGTAAAAAGAAACTCAGGAACAGGCACAAAAATATACAAATAGTGTTAGGTTATTGTTCCCCCTAACTTGTCAGGTTGTTCAGAGGTTACGAGGAGGGACAATCAATGTCTTTGCTCAAGTGTAAGAATATCGCCTGTAAAGCCACTACCACAGTATCCTCAATAAATATAGAGCAATTTTCTTTCTTTCCTCCTTAGATGTCAAGAATAACTAAATTTGAATCATTTTTATAGTTTAAATTTAGGAAAAAATATTGACCTTACATTTGTATAAAATATATGCATACTTCATGGTTAAGACACAAACATGGCTATTTTTTAATTGATTTGGGGAAATTTGAAATAAGTATGTATTAGCCTTGCTTATCAAGACTTTCTGTAAAAGTATTTCTCTGGGGGAAAAAAGAGGCAGTAGTAAAACTGTCTTACCCATGGAAAGGAGGTAAGGGTCTACTCGGCAAACTCTCTACTCCAGAGAGCATAGAGGGAAGCAGACCCATGGTAGCTCTTGAATAGCAGCATTTCAGCCAAGGAAGTCCCACCTTCCCAGGAACCTGGGTCCACATTCTGCACTTGCCACTCCCTCCCTCCCACTGACTCACAGTTAAGTTTCCAGTGCAGATTGTGGGCGGATTGGGTGTCAGAAAATCTGAACTATTTTTACATAAGAACTGGTACATCAAGAAGTTTTAAGTTATTATTAAAAACACACACACACACACAGACTTTAAAAATCTCCTGAAACTGGACATTACGAAGTCTCCACAACCCATCAATTTTGGAAATAAAGTATCATGTATTGTGATGGCCCTTGTACCAGGAGGTAAAGATCACCTAACAGTTCTTGAAGTTGCCTTACTCTCAATGAGGTCCAAGTTGTCATTTTACAGGTGTCATAATCACATCCAAAGATGGTGACTTATATATGGCAGGGCTGGCAGAGAACAACATAAACTATTGTTATTGGACATTTCATTATATTTTCCTTTATATGCTCTAAAAATATCCATTTCTATCTTGGAAGAAGAATCAGCTTTAAAAGGCATACATCACGTGGCATCTCATGTCTCCTTGGAGTCTCGTAGTAACTGCTTGGATACCTCTGGCAATGTGTCGCTAACCTGAACAGTATCACTCTGTCCCTCTGGCCTCTACATGGGGGAGCCTTTCCTGGTTGCTCTATAGAAGATGCCTACTTAATCTTGGAATCAAGCAGTACTTTTACAGGAAAGTGTTCTCTGACCTTCCTGATTGGGTAAATTTTCATATTTTGTACCTCTCCATCTAGTTCTGGTCACAGACACATCTATATTTGTTTATTGAATTATTCATATTCTATCCCTGTCTCTGTCTCTGTCTGTCTTTCTGTCTGTCTGTATCTCTCTCTCTCTCTCTTTCTCTCTATGTGTGTGTCATAAACTCTAAAACACTAAATCAGGTACCTGAAACAAAATAGTTGTTCCATATACATTAGAAATGAATAGAGGTCTAAGACGAATCATTAACACCTGTACTCATAGATCATGGTTCAAGGCCAATCAAAACAAAGAAAAATCAGTGAGATCCCATCTCATGCAACAATCTGAGTTTGGTGGTATATGAGAGGCCATTGTAAAAAAAGCATACATAGGAAGCCTAAGCAGGAAGATTGTGATCTAACCTAGATCACAAAATATGGGGCCCTATCCAAAAATCTAGAACTGGGGAAAGTAGCAGAAGGGCACTTGCCTAGCCCTGAGTTCAAACCAAAGTACTATAAAACAAAAAAAAAAGAAAAGGAAGGGAAAGGAGTGAAAATTGGACACAAAAGTTAGAGTCCTCCAGACTGTCCAGGTTTATTAGAGGTTTTTCAAGCCTCAGCCTCATGCTGCTCAGGCTCCTGAACCCTGTGTAAGAGGGAAGACCCTGCTGTCAGATGTTCACTGAAAGGACTTGTCGCTACTCTCCCCGGCTACCTTGAGGGCTGACCCCTTAGTGGCTGCATCTCTTCATATCTTTTCTACATATCTATGTAACACAGAAAGGCTCTCTGTAACATTTGGGGTTTGGAGTTATGGGCAGTATCCTTGGAAGGTAGGGAGGTGGACAGAGAGAGTAAAAAAGAGGGCATCTGGAGAAAGAAGTATAGAGCAAATGAGCAAAGAAACCAGGAGAGTCACATCTACATAGTCAGACCTCTTGGGTGGGGGAAGACAGGAAAGGTCAGGGAAGAAAGAGATGAAGAAGCCATGATGTTACAGACTTTAGTGACAGATTACTTAGCAATTGTGTAATGAATGTAGGAGAAAATGGGATTGTTGAGGTGTGTGTTCTGAGTTATGAAGGGGATTCCGAAGTATTTGGTGAAATATCACTGTTGGGCTGGGCTTCTGATAAGCCATTTGCTGCAAAGACTAGAACACTCAGAGCTTCAGAAATATGTTAGCCTCATGAGGCTTAGGAATACTTAGACAAAGGTCTAGGTAGATATAATGCAAACTGAATAACAGTATCCTTGGACAAAGCATAAAGTTGGAAGCGGACCCATGACATTCAACTTTGACCTACAACTTCTGTACTTAAAACATTGTGCTACAACCCATGCTGCTCATATAATTTTTAAAGAATGAACACAAGCAGTACAGCATGCTCATGTCAGTGAAGAATAAAAAACACTCCATTTTCCTAAGATCCTTATCTGGCTACTTGGCGATACAAGAGGAACACAATGCCTTAGCAAGGTTGTTCCTGACTTTGAGTGTGCCCAATAAATGAGTTGCAAGTTTAGGCATTTGAATGGAAGAATGGCAAGTGATTTGCACAGCTTCAGGTCTCTCAGTATTTAAAGAAAGCAGTGTATTCCAGGTAGATTTCTGTTATTATTAGTGGCTGCTTTAAAAACACAATTCTTTGCTCATCATTCATTCTTTGATACAATCATTTATGCACTCACCAAATATATTGTCTCCTAATACATTAGATCCTGTTGAGTCATTTTGAGCCTTACCCCTCTGAATTTGAGGTAAAGATACTGGAATTTAAACCCAGTTTTACTCTTGTTAAGCAAGTATACTTAAACCATGCCTCCAGCCCATTTTGCTTTTAGCTTATTATTTTCAAACAAGATTGTACATTTTTCCTAGTCAAAAATCACAATTGTCTTATCTATACCCTCCCCATAGCTGGGATCATAGCTGTGTAATACCATTCTCAGCTTGTATTGTTGAGTTAAGGGCTTGTTAATTTTTTGCCTGGTCTACCTCCTACCCGTGATCATCCCAAACTCTGCCTCTCAAGTAGCTAGGATTACAAGCATAAGCTACCATGCTGGGACCTGCTGTGTGCACTTTAGAGTCTCTAGTTATAAAACACCACCCCCTAACATCTAGAGCTAGCCAAGCAATGGAGACTTAACCTTAGGATTTGGATGTTTGTCTCACCAAGCTTATCTGCCTCTTAGACATCTCTACTTACTGCCAGGCTGACCTGCAGTGTATCTACCAGTTTGGGACTATACCCAGTGGCTTCAATAAAGCAAGACTCTTCAATGAGAAATTGCAATCCATAAAGTCCAAAATAGGTTCAGGACCCCTGCACAACAGTGGGGTCAGGATCCAGTGATAGTCCTGTTAATATTTAATTTCACAGTCCTCAACATCCTGGAAGATACTCTGGGAGGCTACCTACAGCCATCATGCTGCCCTGAAGGCCAAAGCTTCACATAGACTAGTCAGAGGGTGGGGAAGAAGAGCCCTCATCCCCCAAATCTCCAACCTCAGATCCTGCCACCTTGCATGAGCCAGTTTGTTCACAGCATTCTAGAGGGCATGATGATTCAGGCTGGGAGTTCAGAGCTCAACCTGTTTGTTAAATCCGTACAGATCTTTCCTTAAGTGGAAAGAAGAGCAAGGAGAGACAGACAGACAGACAGAGACAGAGATTCTAAAATAAATGCACAAGTACAAACCAAAGAAATAGACACACAGTCACCATGCATTGCATTTTGGGTTTTATTCTTGCCAAAGTTTGAGAGTAGTGCTACTCTGGCAGGCTGCCTTGATAAGAAGCAGAGGGTGGAGCGAAAGTACTAGGCTCTGCATCTCTGGGAGGAGCAGGGTAGGTGTGGGAGGGTGGGGAGTGTTATGGGACACCGCAGGGCAGTGAGCTTTGGACCCCAGCTTGCTCATCTTTGGTTTTTAACAGCAGCAATCATCTCCGTGGTCACAGCAGGCCGGACCTCTGGATCTCATGGGGATAATTCCCAAGCAGCAGCACCCAGAGCCACAGCACCCAGAGCTACAACACCCAGAGCCGCAGCACCCAGAGCTGGAACATCCAGAACTGCAGCACCCAGAATCTTCACAGCCTCCTGTGTTACAGCCTTGGGGCCTCTGGACCCAGCGTCTCAGAGGACTCACCCCGAAGGTCCGGGGAGCCAGGCAGCAGTAACTGGTAGAGCAGGGAGCAGAGCAGGGGTCAGGGACACAGCAGCCCTGGGAACCTGAGCCACCCGCTGCAGAGCCTTGAGTGTAGTAGGTCTGGCCAGGAGCAGAGTACTGGACATAGTATGTCTGGGTCTGGCAGGGAGCTGGGTATTTGACATAGGTTGTCTGGCAGGGAGGGGGGCACTTCACATAAGTCGTTTGGCATGGAGCTTGGCACTTCACGTAGGTTTTGGTCTGGCACGGAGGTGGGCACTTCACGTAGGTCTGGCATGGAACTTGGTATTTCACATAGGTTTGAACTGGCACTGGAGCTACGTATTTCACAACGGTTTGAGGCTGGTAAGAAGCGGGCCCTGCAACATAGGCTCCTTGAGTCTGGGCAGAAGCCTGGGAATTCAGAGAGGCGCCACTGACAACTTGCCCAGAGTTCATTCCCGAGCCTTTCACACAAGATGGAGGGAATTGTGGCTGCTTCTGCTGGTCACACATCTTGATGTGGCTTTGCAACACCTGGAAAGAAAGACTCAATCAGAACTATGAAAGTAGCAAGGTTTTCAGGGAAACCTTCAGTGTTCTCTTTGGACAGACCGCTGGCCTTCTCCAAGAGGTCATTTACGCGCAGTCTATGCACCTGTCCTGTGCGGGTAGCTCATGCCTATAATTCTGAGTATTTAGGAGGCTAAGATCTGAGGATCACAGTTCAAAGACAGTTGAGGTAAAAAAGTCCAAGAGACACTTATCTCCAATTAACCAGTTTTAAAAAGCCAGAAGTGTAAATTTGGCTCAAGTGATAGAGCACCAGTAGTGAGCAAAAAAAGCCAAGCAAGAGTACAAGGTTCTGAGTTCAAGCCCCAGTATTGGTGCAATAAATAGACAAACAAAGAACTAAAATAAATAAATTTTAAAAGACAGTAACCTGCCAGTAAGACCAGATGTGAACCAAGGCTCATAGGTCTGTTTACTGTGCCTAAATGACTTTGGACAAGTCTTTGCTTCCCCCTCTAGGGCTCAAAGTTCCACAGCTGGAAATGGAGGACTTGAAGGAGTAATATCTTCATTTCTAACATTCCATGCCTTCTCCCTTCTTATTCCTTTGAATATCCATCTGGCAAATCAACCTTACAAAATCACTAATCCTCAGCCAGGTGCCCACTGCCCGCAGCTCTTTCCCAGGTGGCTTGCCCTTTTCCTTCTGCCCAGCCAGGGAGTCCCAGAAAAGGCACATGTATGTCAATAGGCATTGATCTAACTTGCATCTCAAATGAGCTTGGGAAGGGAGTGAAGAATAAGAACAAAGTTGAATATCACCTTGGATCAGTCAGATATAATTTTACTTCATTAGTATGTCGATCCAAGAAAAGACTGAGCAAATGCCTTGACAGAAGAGAAATGGAAACTCAGTCTCCTGAAATCCCTCCCCACATAAAACTATTAGCTCAGCTCCTACCTCTCCCTTTCCTCCTATGCCCCAGGCTCCGTGCTTCCCACCAGGTACGCCATCCTCTTCTGTCATGGATGACCTGCCCATCTAGTCCCGGCTTACCCTTCATCCCACAGCTCTCCATTCCAAGTTCAGCCTGGCTCTGTTCCTTGCTAAGACCTTATTGCCAAAGACTTACCTCCTTTCTGGACAGAAGCAAGACTGGAAGAAGCCAAAGATCTGAGGATCTGGCATTTGGGGAGACTTTTTATAGGACGACAGTGAAGCAATTCAATGCCATCTAAATGAAGCACCAGAGATCACGAGGCCAAGGGTTGGTGTTGCATTGGTGAGATTCCTCCCCAGTTCATCTGGCTCTTCAGTCAGAGACAGGGCATGTCTCTACTTGACATTGAATTTTCCTAAACATAAGATAAGTGAGTGTTACTGTCTACTTCATGAAATGAGACCATCTTCTTTTCCTAGAAGTTGTGATCGGTTCCTATGAAGTCTTTCCTAATTTTAGACCACTTGGCTCTTCAAGGATTTGTCCAAGATTTGATTAGATTCTCAATGTTTTATGTACCATGCCAAAAGATACACGTGTCTTCCCAGCCTAATCTATTATTTTTTATGATGGTTTTGTTTATGCTGGTCTGGGTTGCTAGGCATGAAGAGTTTGGCCCAATTGGTCTCTAGTTCTGTATGAAAGCAAGATCTCCAAGAAATACTATTTTGCAATGTACTATTGGGTTATTTTAAGTTCACTTGGGAATTGGCGTGGACTCCTGATGAATCAAGGCTAAAGATTTAGTATTTAGCCATTCCTCTCGATCTTCTCTGTGATCACTCCCTTCCTTGCCTTTCTGGACCTTTCTGGCCTCATTTCCAGGACTAGATTCCAAATAACCTTAAGGGCAGAGGAATTCCACACAAATGAGTATCATGTGATAATACTAGTAAAACCAAACATGTAGTTGAACGCTTTTATGTGCCTAACATTTTATGAGATAACTACATTATTTACAGATGGATACATTTCACACCCCGAAAGATGGAATCACTCAGCAGTCAAACCAAGTAAGTAGACTCAGTTCAAGTGCTGGCAGTCTGCTTTCATAGCTATGATCTTTATCACTGTGCTACTGTATATATGCTCTCTATATGCTGCCTTTTCTATCTGGGCATTGCATCATCCTCAAATCCTTGCCAATTTACCTTTCCCCAATGGAATAGATGCAGAAAGAGTGGTGGAAAAAATATGTATTGAGTACTTACTATGTGCCAAATACTATTCTGGACTCCTTTTTCTGTGTTTGATCTTTGCAATAGCCATGTAAGGTAAACTATGTTAGTTCTATTTTTATGTAAGAGGGAACAGACACCTAAAAGTTTAATTATTTCACCAGTGTCATCCTTATTTGTAGGCAATAGTGGAACTCAATCTTTTAGCCACAGAGCCCATAGTCTTTCCATGGAGCCATAGAGGATCATCCATTATGGGACGTTGTCCTGGGAATGACCCTAGCACTGGTTCCAAATATTGTTCTCTCACATTAGCCAATCCAGTCTTCATCATGGCCCCTGTGACATCTCCGATAAAAGGTGCTCTTATATTTGTCCAACATACATCCTCAGTTCCCTAAGACCCGTAGGCCTTAGCTCTCCTATCTCCTAAGCAAAGGAAAATGCCAAGCCCCACTAGACAGCAGACCTTCCCTCACCCCATGCCAGGTCTTACAAGCTTTATCCCTTAAAAAATTTGGAGGAGTCTAGAAAGAGAAGTCCTGACCCAAATTTGAAAAATGTTCTAGCTCTTCTTGTCATCTCTCCTAATGGGTTGTTATGCAGCATTGCATCCCCTGTGAAATCTAACAGCCTCTCATCTTGGTGGTGGTGGTGGTGGAGGAGGAAGAGCACGGATAATGAGAAGGGACGTTGTTCCAGGCTATTCCATTCCTGATATCATAAATGTCCTATCTCAACGCCAAGGGGTGACACTTTGTGGAGGAAAGGGGAAAAAATCTCTTATTAGAGTCAGAGCCATCATAAGACAGCTTGTCAAATTTAGTATTAAAGATAGAGTGTCAAACAACAACAATAAAGACAAAACAAAATAAATAATATGCCCAATATTACATAACTAGAAGTAATAGAACCAGGGTTTGAACACAGGTATGGAAATCCACATTGTTTTTTTCTACCACATTATCTTGTTTCTGCTTAAAATCTATGATGTTTTAGGACCTATATGCTTTTATTTCAGTGCACACAGGCAGTCAGGAAAAACCCTCTATATTGTATGCATGCTGGTATAGCTCTACTTGATAGCAAGGAAAATGCCCTTGAAGGCCACACATTTTAGAGCATGTCCACAAAAACAGGAGAGGGGAGGTCACAAATAGGAAGAATTGAGCTCTTATCCTGACCTTCCTCTGTTTTCTCCTATGATTCCACAGCTGCTCCTGGACATGATATTCTTTGATTGTTGAGGGCCTGTTCAACAAAGGAAATGTATACTTCTACAACTTTGCTACCTATGAAGTTATTCCTACAAGATTATAGTTTTTTAAGAGTTGCTATGAACTCATTCACTAGATATCATCACTAGACCTTGGACACATTAAATAAATGAACTAATGAATTGGCCAATAGGAATGCTTTACATCGAGAGCCCAAAGCAAGCCCCTCCTCCTGTGGTTGAATGCTGTCCTGTCCTTAGCTAATCTGTTAGTTTCCTACCGTCTGGGAGCTCACTGGCTGGCTTACTTCCTGGTCTTGGGGGTGAGGTCCTCACTAATGGTTTTGACATCTGCAGGCAGTGCCAACATCTGTGGTGAGAGATACTGCGTCCATGTGCCACCCTAACAGGTGGGTGGGTTGTGCCCCACCTATTTTATAGGCTAAGGGAAGGGAGGTAAGGCATGGAGGAGCCAGATGACTGGTGCCAGTGCCAAGATGAGTCATGGGGTTATTCCCAAAGGACTCCAGAACCTCCCTCCCATTTATCCTTTGGGTCATACTCTCAACATAGACTGACAGACTTATGGATTCATGCAATAACAGTCCAAAAGACTGACAGGATAATAGAGAGAGAGAATCATCTCTGAGCTGCAGGGGATTCCATAGGGTCTTGTCTTGCTCATCATCCAGCCTAGAGGGATGTTCTTCTTAGAAAGATCTACTGATTTTTAAAAGCTCTCTGTGGTTCTCCTGGTAAGCTTGTTGCATGACTTCCTACCTGAATTGTTAGGAACTGTGTATCAGATTCTTACCCAGGTCTCTTATGTATATATCCTGACTATCCAGATGTTAATCATGAGACTCAAGGAGGAGGAGTGTGGAAAAGAGGGCTTTTCTTTCAGTTCAGATGAACTGCATCCTAAAAGGGTGTGAGCTGTTACTTCATCGCAGCAGTACCACACGCACCTCTGCCCTTCCCTATCCCAACACTCTGCTCTGGAAACTACAGAACCAGACTAACAAATAGCTCTCTACTTAAATCATTAAGAAATAATATATTAAAGTTTCAATTATCAGTAAGTAAAATGCTGTATGTTTTGTACAGATCCGATTACTATCCAAGCAAGCTATGTAATAGAACTTAATTCTTCATTTCATATGTAATTAGAGTATAAAAAACAAGATAAATTGGGTGCTGGTGACTCATGCCTGTAATCCTAGCTACTCAGGAGGCTGAGATATGAGTATCGTGGTTCAAAGCCAGCCCAGGCAGGAAAGTCCACGAGACTCTTACCTTCAATAAAGCACTAGAAAACCAGAAGTGGCATAGTGGCTCAAGTGGTAGAGCGCTCACCTTGAGCTGAAGAGTGCAGGGGCAGCACCAAAGCCTAGAGTACAAGCCTCACGACCAACAAAACAGCAAGATAATTTTTGACAATTAAGAAAAAGTAAGACAAGTTACCTAAAATTTATCCATTTCACCACAGTCAGAATGGGTGATGAGGGTACAGAGGAAAAGTAATGCTTACACATTGTTGACAAGAATGTAAGTCAGTTCAGCTACTACAGAAATAAGCGTGGAGGCCTCACACACAAAATAAAACTT